ACTGCTGTTGGCAGATTAGTTTGGCTGTTGCCCCTTGGTTTTCAGGCTCACTGCTGTTCAGACACATGCATGCCCTGCATGCCCTGCCTTTAAATGCAGTTGTCATCCAAAATAATACCAGGCAGAGAGCACAGCGTGCAAAACTGTCCCAGCCCCTGAGTGCCCCGAAGAATTAACTTACAGGGTGACCCTGCACGCATCTCTGTTTGTACCTGACCTGAGAAGCCCACGGGGACAGACCACGACCTGCTGTAGGTGGGGCTACTTGACATCACAGGAGAGCCTGCCTGCACGCGGGCCTCTGCACATGGCTCGAGTGCCTCACCCCCGAGAGGGAGGATGCGGTCCTGCGTGCCTTCTCCTTGCCCTCTGCCTTTTCTGGAGAGGAGGGAGTCTGTGGCAGAAAAGAGAGAGATGACAATTACCTGTTGAGCCCTGCTCTGATCAGATCGGAGGAGGGGGAGCTTGTCCCCAGCCCCTTAGAAGGCAGGCGGTGGCCTAGGGTCAGGCTCCATCCATCCAGACAGGGCCCACCTCTCACCCAGGCCTGAGAGGTGAGCTTGGGTTTCTCCAACCAGGGCAGAGGTCATTTTTGCAGCAACCCTCAGAGACTGAGGGTAATACTCTCATTTTTAGAATGGGGAAACTGAGGCTCATGTCCAAATGTGTAACTGTCCTCAGTTCACGATCAACATTAGCACAGCATTTTCAGAAGAGAAGCTGACCACCCACCCACCGGCTTGCTTTGCCCTAATCCGGAAGCCAGCTGCCTACAACTTGAAGTCGTGTCTGAGGACACTCCTGTTCTGAAAGGTGAAGTTTTAACAAAAGAAGCCAGTTTTTAAGATTAAAACAGAATGCTGGGTAAGGGAAGAAGAGAAAATAACAGAGAACCTTCCCCCTGTATCCAGCCTTTGAAAGTTTAACATGTAAGATACTGTGAGTCCCATGAACAAGGCTGTTGAAGGTTCCAGATCTGGGTCTCTGTGTCCGGGGTGGAGACCTGTGAGTTGGAAGTTCTGAACAGCCATAAGCCAGCATCCAGATGATCTGTGAGGCCCTCATTGAAGGCGTTTTGGGATTTATAACCGGACGTTCTGTCATGATGGAGCTTCCCGTAGGTTCTTTACTTGACCTGAACACCACTGTAAGTGCGCCCCATTTCTGAAAGCAGTGGGAGGCTCCCACATCCGTCGAGGGGTCCTCAGCCCAGAACTGCTTTGGCTCAGGGGCACAGCTGCAGGGGGAGCTCCAGACATGGGACCTTTCCCGACAGGAAGGGGCACTTCTTCAGGACACAGGGCTGGGGTCTCTCAGCAGTGGCTGTCTCCAAGGAGGTCCCTCTCTGAGCTCCAAACCTAGCCTAGTGGTCTTCCACAAGGCCCTGGGCCTGCAGCCTCACCTGGGAATTCAGCAACACAAATCCTTGGGCAGCAGGTGACCTACCCAGGCCTGCAGGTGGCTGCAGCGTGCTGGAGTTTAGTACGTGCCACCCCTGGCTAGCTTGTGTTCCTGGGCCCAGGAGGTCATCTCTCTGTTCTGGACATTGACCACAGCTGGTCGGACCAGGAGGTCGTGTTCCTTTAGCAGGTGCTGTGTGAGGATTGTATGGAAGGGCATACCATCTTGGTAGACTAATTTCAGCCCTCAAGAGTCATCACCCCAATGAAAAAATAAGCAGGGGCTCATGTTTTGGAAAGGATGGTACAACACCTCCCGAGAGAAATAGATGCTGACAGTGGGCCCCTGGACTTACCTGTGAATAACCTGGACTCTCAGAAAAGAGGTGAGGGCTGGCTCCTTGCAGTCCAAGCATACCAATTACCCAAGTGTCTCAAAGCTGCTGTGCACCCCGCAGTCCCGTGGACAGTCTCCTCTCCACCAGACCCCCAACTGATGGTGACTTCATCCCTGAAAGAAAGGAAATCAATTCCAAACATTGCATATTCTTAACCGTTGGATCCCATGAGGTCTAACTCAGTATCGGTGGGGGCCTGCTACAGAGCAAGCGTGCACACGTTCTTTGCGTTATGTTTTAGGAGCAATGGTGGGCGTCACAGTGAAGAGAGACCGTGGGCCCCCCTCCCTGCCTCTGCTTGTCTGGAGCGGCAGTGTCTGCTGTTGGGGGTGGGGGCCCCGAGGACAGCTGGTGCTGCTCTGGCTATGCAGGGCCTTTGCGAGCGTTCACGTGCACTACTGCCCTTCCTCATTCTCACTTCTCCCCACCAACTTCCTTCTGTCGGGCACTCTTGGGCGGGAAGGCGGTTTGCTCATCCAGGAGAACAGTGCCCTTCTTCCCTTGCCCTGCTCCTCCCGGAAGCTCCTCCCGTGCCTATCTGTCTTGCATCCAGGTGAATTCTTAGTCTGGCAGATTTCAAAGGCAGACTTCGCCTCCTAGCCGTGTCTTACCAGGAAAACCCATGGACAGAGGAGCCTGAACGATTGAGCACATGTGCGCGCACGCACACACACAAACATACACACACACGATCTCAGCCAGACAACAAGTAGACTTTTGAAATTCCAGCATGAATTTTCCCCCCACATCTCCTTTTCCCAAAGGTAGTGTTTCTGGTGTTCTTTCAGCTTCCCTATTCTGAGCATTTCAAAATTCTCACAAACCCAGCACGCTTTGGGGAGAGGCCTGACGTTGTCCAGAAGGCCTTACGGTGACCTCAGTCCCAGGCTGGGGACGCCAGGGCTACCCAGCCAGCCTGGGGCCAAGAGGTGAAGGACTGCTCCTGGCCCTGCCAGACACTCACTGTGTGCCCCTAGGTTTGTCAGCTGCCTTCGCTGGGCTAGGGAAAGCTGTCTAGACCAAGAGGGCTGTTAGCTTAGAGTATCTAGAAAACTTTTATCCAGGCACCCTGACTGAGATATCAGTGATACCTGCTCAAATCAGAGACCCACTATTGCTGAGCTGCAGTGTGATTAAAAGAGTAATAGAAAACCAATGCGAGAGGAGTCTAGAGCTTAGAGTACCTGGGAGATGGAGAAGCCACGTGGGGAAAGGTCAGGGTGCAGGGCCAGCTCGGGGGTCCTGGCCCTGTGGCAGTACTGGAAACAGGCTGGGGACTGGGACGTTGGCCTCTGGGACAGGAGACATGAAACTGGGCCAGGAGACATGAAATTGGGCAGTGCACATGTGACACACAGATGTGACCGCAGGGCACTTACAGAGGCTGCCAGTTGAGGAGAACTTTGGATCTTGGCTCTTGTGTTCTTACTGCCTGTAATTTTATATTAAGCGTCTTCCCAGGAATTAGCCAGCAGTCCAGATCATGAACCTAGCCAGCTCCTGCCACACGGTCCAGCTCGCCTCCCTCCAGGTCACACGGGGTGGTCTGCCCTGGCAAGGTGTGACAGTCAACGCTGCTTACCAGTCTGGGTCTCCATTCATCACTAATTCACCCCTTCATTCACTCTCTCTGTTCACGCCTCGCCGGGTCTCTGGCAGCCAAAGCCCCTGATCTTCTTGCCCTCTAGCTGTTTTTATACTAACTTTGGACACATTGGAGTTTCTTTTTAAAAAATGTTGCCCCTTTTCAGTTTTCTTTCATTTGAGGACCAAGTTTACTTTGCCCTTAGCGTATCTTAAAGTCTTCACTGAAATACATTCAGTGACGATATCATTTTCGGACACATGATAGTAAGTTCTCACTAATTCTTTCCCAAAGAAACAAAAGCATCCAAAGGTAAGACTCCACAACTGTTCAGTATGAAGATTCATTTGCACTTCATATAGCATGCCACGGTGCCAGGGTTCTCTGAGTGTGGTCCCAGCCAGCAGCCGCAGCAGCACCTGGGAACTTCACAGAAATAGAGATACTCATGTCCATTCAGCCCTGCTGGATCAGAAACTCTGGGAGTGGGTCCTGCATCTGTGTTTTCTTGGCCCTCCTGGTGAGGCAGATATACCTTGATGTTGCAGAATCACTGCACTTATGAAACAGAGGGTTCTGGTTCAATTGGTGAGCTGCGTGGCCAAGACTTCGCCTCCAGGAGGTTTGCGGTGTGGCTGGCTCCATTCCCTGCACCCCTCCCACCCACCGTGGGAGCGGGGACATGGAGGGAGGAAGGGGTACAGTCCCTGGGCCTGGCTTATCTGGATGTAGAACCCTTCCTGGCCTGATGCAGAGTGCAGGGCAGTGGAGACCCAGTTCTTGTTCTGGAATTCTTTATTCCAAGGGAGAAGGATGGAGAGGCATTTTAGCAATTTAACTAGCAAATAATTAACCATACCAGTGTTTACTGTAACATAAACTCAGGTATGTTATTTTGTAGCCCATAAAAGTCTCATGAATTTTTTTTTTAAGGAGAAACAGGAATTCACAACCTTTTCCCACTTTTTATGAACTGACTATGCTCCCCTGGGGCCAGCCAGGGTCAGGGTGACCCTCCTCTGCCCTCCAAGACAGGCCTCCTTGGAAAAATTTGAGCAGCAGGGTATCTTCTTGGGCTAAATCCCCCTGACTGAGGACTAAGGGGCTCACACCCAGCCAGCCCGAGTGAGCTCTGGGCTTCCCAACCCCAGCAGAAAAGTCACTATGGTCTCTGCCATGCCTTCTGAGACTGTTGGCTATTCCAACCGAGATGGGATCACAGATTCACACAGCTCCAAGGGGAACATGGGTTGTGTGAAACTGTGGCTATGCTGGGAGGTATGGGAACTGGCTTCCCTTCTCCCCATGGCCCCACCTCGGGTGGCTCTGGGAGGACCTGGCCCGGGCCCCAGTGTGTTCCAGGCACCTGGGCCTTCACAGATCCCTCCTCCATAACAGATACTAGCACATGTATTTGATGACTATGTGGTGTAAGGGCAAATGTAACACAAGCTGAATTGTATTCTTTTTCTCTCCTGGTTTTAAAATACTTGCTTGGGCCTCTGGAGGTGTTGTGAGCCCTCCTGCGCCAGCCTGCTGGGCCTCACAGAGAGTCAGCCCTGCAGGGTGTGCCTCTGCGTGCTACACTGACAATAACCCAGCACTCTGCTTGTTTAGAAAATCGGCTGTGATGGCATCATCGGGTCTGCGGCCAAAGAAGACCGGTGTGGGGTCTGCAGCGGGGACGGCAAGACCTGCCGCGTGGTCAAGGGCGACTTCAGCCACACTCGGGGCACAGGTGAGCTCAGGCCTCGGGAAAGGTGACCCTGGCCACTGAGAGCGGACAGGTGCACACGGGCCCCAAGGTGTTGCTGCGGCAACCGGACAGCCTACAAGTGCTGTGTATTTTATTGCCCCAGAGCCAATCTTACTGGATACTCTCTTGCCCAAAGTCAATGATCACTTGCCCTCCCTGCATCTTACATGTAAGGACTAGTTGGGGGGCTTCCCAGGTGGCCCAGCAGTAAAGAGTCTGCCTGCCATTGCAGGAGGCGCAAGAGACACAGGTTCAATCCCTGGGTTGGGAAGATTCCCCTGGAGAAGGAAATGGCAATCCACTCCAGTATTATTCTTACCTGGAGAATCACCATGGACAGAGGAGCTTAGAAGCTTGGCGGACTATAGTCCACGGAGTTGCAAAATATTGGACAGAACTGAGTGACTGAGCATGCACCCACAGTAGTATTTAGGGCACCCTGCACTTTAGTGTTAGGATTTCTGAAAGGCAGAGAAAAACATTACAGCCAGAACGACATGTTTAGGTTCTTTGACGTGGGTAGTCTGCCCCAGAGCTGAGTTTGGCCCCCGAGGTCTGTTCTCATGCAGCGGCCCGCTGTCCCACCAGCCTTACCCCCCTCCCGCCCCCCCTCACAGCGTGTGCCAGCTCGTCTGTCTGTCCCGCATATAAAGGCAACAACAAACACTTGGCCACATTGTTTTTACCGATGTGAAATGATGAGGTTCTTCTCTGTCTGAATTTTCTGTCAGTGAAAGGATAGCATTTACACACATCCCTAAACATGCCTGAAGCCCCATGTTCTGGGGCGTCCGCGATGCGGCTGCTGGCTGGGACTGCAGAGTCCCTGTGACTCCTGAGACCCAAATGTAGCCCGGCCCCCTCCCCAGGCCTGGAGAGGTCGCAGGGTTCAGCTGGTGGGTGGCACAGTCTTTCCACTGGAACCGTCCTCACAGCCTGTGGGCTGCCTTGCCCAGAGGTAGGAGAGTTTCTGATCGTCTGCCTGGTGGCTGCCAACTTACGATGTCCAGGGAAGAAGCTGCTTGACACCCTCTCAACGAGAGGACCACGAGGCAGGCAAGTCACCCGGAGGGTGAGTGAGTGTCCCTTCCCCCGACACCGCCGAGGATGACGGCACCAGGATAACTCACTGAGTGGAGCTGCTGCTGCTGCTGCTGAGTCACTTCAGTCGTGTCCGACTCTGTGCGACCCCATAGACGGCAGCCCACCAGGCTCCCCCGTCCCTGGGATTCTCCAGGCAAGAACACTGGAGTGGGCTGCCATTTCCTTCTCCAATGCATGAAAGTGAAAAGTGAAAGTGAAGTTGCTCAGTCGTGTCCGACTCTTCGTGACCCCATGGACTGCAGCCCACCAGGCTCCTCTGTCCATGGGATTTTCCAGGCAGAGTACTGGAGTGGAGTGCCATTGCCTTCTCCAGAGTGGAGCTGAGAAACTTCTAATTCCCAGAGCTGCTTTGGATGGAGGTGTTTCGGGGACAGGATCACAGTTTTTCCCCCTGTCCCACAGAGCGAGCGGAGAGGAGAATCCGTGCACGGCCCCCTTTCTCTATGGGGACAGGAGCCCTGGTCTGGAGCAAAGGCTGCTTCTAGACACCTCACAGAAAGGGCTCCTGCTGCATAGACACTGCAGAATCCTGACAGCCAAACCAGAGCCACACACAAGTGAGAATTATGCTTCGGCTCAATGAGGGCTGGTTTCCAGACTTTGAAGATGGGTGCCCAGGCTGTGGGACAGGCAGCTTGAGGGAACCTCTGCTTCCTGCCCAGCTCTGATGAAAGCCAAAGAAGCTGCCGCTGGAACGAATAGGTGTAGGGGCGGTGCCCCCCAAAGCTGCACCATCCAGCGCAGTTGCCACAGCCCACCGACGTCCGTTCAGATTTTAAATATAATTAGTTTAAATTGAACCAACATAAAACTTCAGTCCTCAGTCCTGTGAGCCACATTTCAGTGCCCCGTTGCCATGTGTGACAGGGGGCTCCCGTGATGAATGTCACAGAGAGAGAAGCGCCCCTTCCTTGTAGGAAGTTCTCTCGGACAGCAGTGCTCCGCACCTTTGGGGACATCCGCTCTCAGTTTTGTCTGATGCCACTTTCCCTGTTTGGACTCCAGCTCCAGTTTGCCACGAGACTGACCTTGCCTCCTGCTGCACCTGAGCAGCAAGGCTGCTTAAGAACAGACCTCTGTAGCTGGCAAGTGTTTATCACAGGCTTTTTAAAGTCAATGTTAGAGCCCTTTATGTTTATAAACTGAATGTTGTGCTAAGCTCCAGTAAGCTGAACTGACTGAAGTTGCTCCATTCTGTGGAAGGCAGTCGAGCGCACAGCTGTGCCCACTTCTGCCCCCAGGCAGTTCTTAGCACCCTAAGGAAGGTTCCACCATACTCCTTTGTAAACGTCCACTGTGCGCCATAGAGCTGCCAACCTCAAGAGCGCTTAGATCAGGACAAAAGCACTGTCTTTTCCCCCAGGCTCTAATGCACTTGTTGGCCTTTGGTCTTGGCACGAGCACATCCATTCCTCCTATGACAGCAGCGTCCTTCTCTGCTTCCCCCGTTCTCCACCCCGGCCTTGCCTGGCCCCCTGTACACGCAGAAGGCAGGGGGACTGGAAGCCTCTGGAGGAGAGTGGTCCCCACCCTGACATGCGACTTAGTGCTCCTTCACTAGTCTTAGCAAACCTTCAGAGAAAGATAAGCTAAGTTAGCTTCACCCACCTCTAAAACTTCTGTCCTGAATGCTTGCCAAATGTTACACCTTCGTTTTGAAGTCTAAAGCTGTCTTTAACAAATCCTAGGGATTGGGTCTGTGAGCATCAGCTCATGTCAGTGTGGATTCTGTTTATCGAAGATGTGTGTAGAATGCTCGTTCACACATGGATGAGTCGCTATCTAATTCAAATTTCATCAGACACAAACCTGTAATCCAGGTCTGACGTTCTGGAATGCACGTGTGAGAGATACTGCACACGGTCACCTGTGAGCCCATGAACCCTATGAACATTCGCCCAGCACTGCTGCATTTTAAGCTTGAGTTGCAGAAATAAAAGTTAACTGTCACTGACCAACTCAGGTCACAGTCAAGGGAGGGGACCCTCGGGCAAACAGCTTGAGCCCACATGTGAGGTGGAGGGGGCTCCACTCAGCTCTAGGGGTACCATGGGGCCCTAAGTCCTAGTGGGGCTCCTCGCCCACCCCTGCAGACAGATGAGGGTGGCCCCCACACCCTAAAGGATAAGTAGGAGTTCAATGACAGTGGGGGTCTGGGAAGGACATTTCAGTTTGCAGGAAAAACCCAGCTTAGAAATGGTATAAAGCCCCCAGGTCGTGTAACATCTAGGTAACTCCAAAGGCGGCTACACCTGTGAGCCCATGAACCCTATGAACATTTGCCCAGCACTGCTGCATTTTAAGCTTGAGTTGCAGAAATAAAAGTTAACTGTCACTGACCAACTCAGGTCACAGTCAAGGGAGGGGACCCTCGGGCGAACAGCTTGAGCCCACATGTGAGGTGGAGGGGGCTCCACTCAACTCTAGGGGTACCATGGGGCCCTAAGTCCTAGTGGGGCTCCTCGCCCAGCCCTGCAGACAGATGAGGGTGGCCCCCACACCCTAAAGGATAAGTAGGAATTCAATGACAGTGGGGGTCTGGGAAGGACATTTCAGTTTGCAGGAAAAACCCAGCTTAGAAATGGTATAAAGCCCCCAGGTCGTGTAACATCTAGGTAACTCCAAAGGCGGCTGGATGAATTCAGAATCCTGTCAGTTTAGATACAAAGGTAACTTTCATCTCTGCCCAACTCTAAAGACAGGAGAGAGGAGGAATGCCTTATCACCCTGAGGGTGAATATCAAAGAAAATACCATACCCAAAAGATAAAGCAGAATCAAATGCAGGATTTTTGCCCAATTATATGAAGTCCTGACCCTTGCCTGAACTCTTCTAGGCCCTTAACCCACATACTTGAGCTGAGGACCTCGAACAGACCTACACAGGAGAGTGTCCACGCCCCCCAGATTTCCCCCTCGGGTGTCCTGGAGAGGTCCCAGTGCAGTATCCTGAGCTGAGTGTTTTATTGCTCTCTGGCCTCTTGCCTTCCAACTTTGAACAGATGAGGTCTTGGGCCACTTGACTCTAGGGGAATCCACTTGAATTGGCTATCATATTACTCTTTTGATGGATGGGCTTCAGAATGTACAAACCTTGGATTAAGTTGAAACAGCTGAGCTTTTTTTGATTTAGAAACTTGAAAGTTCTTGATAGGATGCTTTCATTTCATTCATTAAATTGTCATTTTCAAATTATTCCATGCTGCTCCTTGACACTTGAAAGGTGACTGATGTCCATGGACACTCAGTCCAGGACATCTCTGAACTCAAGTCCCCACCAAGAGCTGGCCATGATGCCCCACGGGCTCTGAATCCCTTTGCACTGTGTTCTTGAAGAGAGCCTTCTCAAATTATCAGTTCTTAAAAAGGAGAGTGATGTAATCTATCCCTATTTAGTGTGGATAGATCTACATGTCACACATTTGTTCAATATTACCTTTAGAACCTGGGCCTCATGCCAAGTTCTGAGCTGCAGTGTCTAGGTGTGGGGTGTGGAGGTTCCACGGGGAAATTTACCACTGTGTGATGGTGACACAGGCCACTTCTCTGCACTGACTAAGAACTATAATTATCAGTTCCTGCAATGTGCATGTAAACCAATTACCATGTATTTCTTTTTCTCAGTCAGGAGTAGTCTTTGTACCAAAGTGTCCACATGTGTGATGGCAAAGGCCGTTCCCAGGTGTTTCTCATGTAAGATTCCAGCTATTCCGAGCAGAACTAGTGGTGATATGCCTGGTGTGGGGCTCCTACCTCGCTTATGTGCCTGAATGTTTGCTGAGTAGAGTCAGTGGGAGTGAGTCATGTATGAAGCCGTGGATAAACACATATCGTTTATGTGTAATTGATGTATAAGACACAGTCCAGGACATCTCTGAA